GACCGGTGTGTGGCATACTGTGCAGATGGACCGCGATGTGATGGTGGGAAAACTGTCACGGGACGTGTACACGCAGCAGAAAATGGAAATCCTCACTGCCTTGAGAAAACTGGGGGAGAAGGTGAGGAGCACTCAGAGCACACATGATTATCCACAGAGTCGAGGATGATTCAGCGGCTTGTGCTACGTCAAGTCTGAAATGATTCATTTCAGTCATGCAGCCCTCACTAGCTGCCTCGAATGTTTCCTTTCATTCATGTTGCAATTATGTGACAGCTCACCCCAGAAGACGAGACATTCCTCACTGAAAACGCCACAGCGACCTTGAGCCAGTTTGAAAAAGTGACTGCAAACCAAGGTGAGCAAAAAGATGATTTTACTACAAAACTGATACTTTCTCACAGATATTTCTGTTGACCTCATTTTGCTTTCCTTTTTTCAGGGTCCGAAGACAAAATAATGGCTTTAGCTAGCTCTGGTGTGAAAACAAAGTCATAGCAGTTCTGCAAAAAAAAAGTGTGTTTTTAATGAAGACAAAAATGTGCCATCCAATTATGGATTTTCTAAACAATCAGTGCGCTTTTAAGTGCTACTGCAGACGCTGACACTTTTAACAGTATTGTTTTATATGTACACGTCAATCTTTGTAAATGTCTTTTAATCATCCAGATAAAGCGTAAAAATGTATTTTAGGTACGAGCGTGTGATTTGCTAAAAGGTGCGTGAATGTAGAGGACGGCGCAGACAGTTTGTTATTATGATCTTGTGGTTTGTGCAGTGATTCTTTATTCCAATATTTCAATATTCAACAGTGCTGTTTTTAGGATGTTTTCCTTCAGGGTGTATTTTTATTTCAGCTAAAACTGTGCCGTCTGCGGGACTCTGAATAAAATAATAGAAACACTGCATGTGCCAGGACTACAGCGCTTCAGATGATCGGATCTGCCTCGATTAATATGTACACTATAACCAATTTACAGTTGCATTTATAGATGAATACATTTGTAAACCACTTGTGTGCAGGTGAGATGTAGAGTCTGATGATATCTTCAGTAAAACTCGACGAGTCTTTCACCAGTTTAGTTGAAATGTGCCGAGTCTGCAGGGTGGATTAGAGCAGCCGTCGTCCAACAATATGAGAATCATAAAGTTTTATTAATCGTGTGGGTCTTCGGTCTGTTCATGGAGAAAATACAGAGATTTTACAGGATGAAGTAATGAATTGAGACGCTTTACCACTATTCAGTGTCACTTGGGTGTTTCCATTATTTTAATGAGTCCTCTATGCATTTATTATCATGCAACTCAAACTGATGACTGTAGCTTCATGTTGACAGTGATGAAGTTTGATGCGAGTTTAAAAACTATCAGAGTCTGTGTAGAAGTGAATGTCACAATGTTTACAGCATTAATCTTGATATTCTTGCTACTTTTAATGTGAGTAAAAAGAAAACTAACAACAGGCTTCATGTTTTATTTCCCGCCATGTACACTCACCTGCCACTATGTACACCTGTTCAGCTGCTCATCAGCATTAATATTTTATCAGCCAATCACATTGCAGCAACTTAATGCATGTAGGTATGTTAGCATGGTCAAACAGAGTACCAAAACGCTGATTTAAAGTGACTCTGAATGTGTCATGGTTGTTGGTTGGGGAAAAGCGTGCGATATTTGGATGGTAGGCTCAGAATTTGGCGTGAACAGTATAAAAGCATGGATCTGATTGGGTTGCTGCTGGTGGTGTGATGGTGTGGGGGATATTTTCTTCACACATTTTGGGCATCAAATAAACACCATAGCTTACCTGAGTGTTACTGCAGGCCATGTCCGTCACTTTATGACCACCGTGTATCCGTCTTGAATCTTTGCCGAAAGAATTAAGGTAATTCTGAAGGCAAGGAGGGTCCAACTTGATACTAGCAAGTCAAATCTAATAAAGTATCTCATGAGTGTATACACTGTTACACTCATAGATGCTCATTTTAAACATGGCCAAAGTCTGAAATAATGAGATTGGCAAACATACATGTTCCGGAGTGCCTAAAGCTTTGGCTTCAAACTGCTCTCAAGGTTCACTTCAGACAGTTTTCAAATCTTGTCTCTGTATGATGTCACTGAGAGTGGGTATCATAAATATGCTCTGAGCATAGGAGGCCCACCCACCTGCTGTTCAAACCCGTTTTTGAGGGGCAGCCAATTCTAAGAAAGGGAACTGAGAAATATACCTGAGCATTAAGGCCTTACTGGTATTACTGGTGGTTCTACTATACACAGTTTGAAATGTGAATCATGCAAAGCAGCCCTGGTAGAGCGCACGAATAAAAGCATGGAGTTGAAAAGGAGCATAATAAATCCACCAGCTCTATATTTTATCGTGGAGCTGTAGCAGATCTTAGTTTCACCACCAGAGGGCAACAATGCTCAATATTTTTTTTTATTTTAAAAAAGCACCACCCAGGGTGTGTTCCCATGCTGTGCACCGGAACCATGTTTACACTAGAGAATACAATGAAGGAAAACAAGAGCAGACAGAAGTTATACCCCATCTCATCTTCCTTTATTTTGTTTACGAGCAAGCATCAACCTCACTACATTTGCCTTTCAACTGGTAGAAAAGAGAGCAGCTCCAACAAGCACAAAGGAAACATCCAACCACGCTGAAAACACCGTCACCGTCCATTTTGAGCAGATTTTAAAACAAAGAAGAAAAAAAAATTTCTGGAGTGTCATGGATGTGTGAAACAGACAATCTGAGAATCAGTAGTGTATCGCGTCTCCTTTCTCACTCCGGTCTCATAGGCCCACGTGGAGCGTACACACACACACTTGTGGTTCATGCAAAGTCAATATACCCCCACCCACCTGTCCATCCACCCACCCTTCCTTACTTCATCTTGATGTTGTTACAGTATGGCTGCATTTCAGATTGTTAGGCAGTGACATTCATTGGGGGCGCACAACCCGAAAAGCGAGATGCTAGTTAACCTTTGAACTGTAGCTGAAATGTGGACATGAAGTGTTTGACACAATGAAACCGTGAGAATTGCGTCACCGACAGGCATATATACTCTTGTGAAATTTCATGCTGCCCTCAAAAAAAATTAAAAAAAAGTTTCTCAACAGCTCAAGCAACAGGACACCGTTAAAAAGAAGAAAAAAGAAACTCACCTTCCACTATACACAAATAGGTCAGTATACACGCTGTATGCTGCCAAAGCAATTTCATAATGTACATCTTTTAAAGGTGGATTCCGTCAATATGATTTTTAAGTACAATATCTATAGAAGATACGATGTGGATCTACTCCTCTACACATCAACAAGGACACGTGACATCTATGTAAAATGTTTTCACCTGTAATAAAACTAGCGTCGGCCTATTCTCGCGAGAAACTGAGAGAAAACGTCTCCCCAGCTACGAAAGAAATCTAGCATTAAAAATAAAAATAAAAGAGCACGGATAAGTGTGTTTGTTAGACCAGCTAATTACGCTATGATCGGCAAAAGGCACTCCCATCTCAGCCGGCTCAGACCTGGCGCCCCCCCTTTTTAATTTTTTTTTTTTTTTTAAGTTTTTTAGTTTTTTAAAACAAGCCAAAGTCATCATGGAAGGGAGACTGTTCACTACGTTTCAAATACACACCTATTTTTTAAAAAAAATCAAAAAAATCAAATGGATTCACTGAGATGAAAACAAAAGTAGCCTGGAAACTTTTTACAACAACAATAATAATAATAATAATAATAAGCAGCGTTGAAGGTGTTTTTAATCAATTTTGGCCTCTGAAAATGGATTTGCAAGCATAGACTTTTCCAATCCCGATAATGCCATTTTCTGCACAATCCAATGCCCCAAACATGGTCGTAATAAATGCATGTTTGGGAAACGCTTATTATTTTACTCTGTACCCCCCCATAAAAGACTAACACTAAAATCGTTCAGTGTGACGGCACGTTTTTATCTGTTCTGGTGAAAGATTATATACAAGTTATGGACAACAGTGTCTGAGAGGAGACAAGAGGTCGGACACACTTTCCCAATCGTAAGCTTCATACTAATACCCGAAGGAAAATAAGTTTACCAAATGTAAACAAATATCTTTGAACAACTCTACAGTACAGTTTCATGTACAATAAAATCTAGTGGTCTACTGCAAAAAAATATCTCACTTTAAGATTCAAAGATTCATTTTTAAAGTGTTTTCCTGCCGTAAGCATCGTCGTCAACAAAGCTTCAGCAATAAGCAGTTTAAAAATATACCTCATACAGGCTATGTATTATTATTTTAGGTAAAATAGCCGTGCCGTGAAAAGAAAAGAAAACATTGCCAGCAATTCAACGATTCAGCCAGTCTCCACTAAAGCTCATAAACATTTTCTTTCAGTAGCTTGAAAGGGTTTCTCCTTGAACCACAACAGGGACTGGGACAGGGACAAAGGTTTTAAAGCTGCTGAGGACATTTTAGTACCCTTATTTTCACCACGAACGGCAATGCTGAGCCGATCTTTGTGATTCCACGCGACATTTTCTGAAACTGAAAGAAGATTCCCTCTGTAGTGTACATCAGTGAGATCTGCTGGGAATGAAACAACACTAAAGCCATGAGTAGAGCGTTGCCACGCGTGCAAGCGAAGCAAAAGCATCATGTGAAGCTGAAACCGTCAACTAAGTCCTCCGCCTACGAGAAAGCAAAAGAAACTACTTTACTCCTCGCAAAAGATTAAAGAAAAGGGACGAAATGGACACGTTTTTGTCATGGAAACCGCTGAACAGTCCTCGGTTTCGCATCGTGAAGCGAGACATTTTGTACAAGCGTGATGGAACAGCTTTTGCAGAAATTCAGCGGCATGCTGCGACAGCCTGTGTGACACAAATAGTCTACATTACATAATCGTAGATATTGGACCCCATTGATTAGGTCTTCACTAACACATTGACTAATTACATGGTTTCATTATATTTACAAAAATCTTTAAAAAGCAATTTATTTCTCTACACATGACTTCCCCAAAATTTCTCCATGCACTAAAAAGAAAAACAAAAAAAAGAAATGGAAGAGAAAAATGCAGTCTACTTGTTAAAAGCATCATTTTCGATTCACTGTGGACTACAAGTCAAGAAAACCCAAGTCGGAGCTAGTTGTGAGTTTAGCGAATAAATCTACAAGCATTAGCAAAGAATATACATCAGGAGAAGCGATTGCTCTGCTCTTCAAAGCCGTACATCTGAGAGAAAACAAACAAAGTGCAGGGTTGGCTTCCTCACACAGTTCCAATGTAAGCCAGGTTTTCCTGGGAATTAAAATATAATAAATAAAAAAAAGTCAGCAATCTGGTGATGACTACACTACACTGAGTACCACCACTAAGATAACAACAGGAAAACCTTGACCATATATACGCTGAAGGGACTTTATGTTTCTCCTTTTCTTGATTTTTTTTATTTTTGTTAAGTTTTTACATCATGGCTCCTAGACATGAAACTGCAGGGAGTGCTGTGTGTGTGAGTGTGTGCGTGAGGCAGGGAGTATGAGTGAATTTCTGATGTGTGTGTCGGGAGCTCTTGTTTGGGTGTCTTGTGTGTGTTTAGTAGGTGAGGGTGGAGTCGTCCCACTCCAGCTGCTGCTGTCTGCTGGCCCCCTGCTGGTCCTCCGGCTCGCCGCCCTCCTCGTCTTCGCTGCTCTCTGACTCGGCGCTCGTGATGTCATCTTCTTCCTCGCCGTCCTCGCTCTCCTCCTCCTCTTCCTCCTCCTCCTCGCTGCTGTGCTGGTCCTCGTACGTCTGCATTAGTGACAGCGAGAGAAAAGATGGAGACTGTGACTGTGGGCACTCATTTTGTGACCTTAAATACTCAATTACTTAAATTGGGCGACCAGGGCGGTTCAGGGGGTTGGGAAGCTCATCTTGTAACCGGAAGGTCGCCGGTTCGATCCCCAGCTCTGTCTGTCTTGGTCGTTGTGTCCTTGGGCAAGACACTTCACCTAC